AATAGTGGTAGTCTGGTTGTGGGTATTGGGCGAGATAGTGACCTGGGTGTGCTTCTGTTCTCTCTTGTAGTGATGAGAGGTGGCAGCCTTAATGCACTCATTGTTGAGGTTCAAGACCTCTTCGAGTTTGGCAAGTCCGGAGGCAAGCTCCTTGAGGGTGCTGGTGGCCCGCAGAGTGGCATCCAGGTGGAGACAGGCACGAAGGTCATCCTTCACTCCGGACTTGATAATAGTACAGAGTGCGGAATCTATGAGCCTGCTGGCAGCATCAAGTTGATTGTTGTTGGAGCAGAGCTCTCGGAGGTAGGTGTCAACATCCTGGTTGCTGGACTGTCTGCAAGTGCAGAGATCATCCAATAGATTGTCAAGATAGTTGGTGGGGGTGACAAAGTCAAAAAGCTCCTTAGACCAGGTGACAAAAGACATTGCCTGGTAGGTTGTGTTGTCGAGTCTGTTCCAGGCAACAAGCTCCGGCTCACAGATGCCTGCTTGTGCCTTAAGTACCCTCTTCCCAACCTCAACTTCCTTTGCCTCCTGCCACAGCTCCATAACCCCCAGCCACTCCTTCACATCCTTGGGCTCCCTGCTCTCAAGCAGAGGCACATCTGAACTGCTGCTTGATAGGGTTGGCAATAAAGAAGGCGGAGATTTTGGTGAGGGGGATCGGTATTGGAGGAGGTCGAGAGGGTCCAGGCTGCTGTCTGGAGCAGGAGACCAAGTGCGTGGGGTAGAGGTAGCAAGTGGGGTGGATGTCAGGCCAAAGGGCAGTGACAGATCCAGAGTGTTGGCTTGTTGAGACTTGTGTTGATGAGTTGGTGTGCAGCACTGAGACAATTGCCAGAACAGAGGTAACAGTAAAAAGTGAAAGGACCTCAGAATAGGACCTCACTGATAGTGATCCAATCGGTAGAGTTGACTCTGAGTACTGTTAAGACTGATCTGTATTTCAAGAAGTCAGTATACAGCACTAGAGGTGTAAGGTACCTATCAGGGCACACAATACTAGACACAAGACTGTTTGCAAGAGTGGTCCGAGACAAGACAAGATTGTCGACAGATCGGTAGTAGAGTCGAGAGGGAGCGAGGTGAGAAAGCAGAGCACCGAGATATCGCGAGAGGAGGTCTGACAATATCGCAAAGGTTGCAAAGGGGTATGTGATCTCGATGCCTAGTTCAACTACACAAGTATTGTGGAGGATCCTAAGAGATCAGATCTAAGGCAAAACTACAATACTGCCCGGTACTATATACAAAAGGGACAGAAGTATTTCGAGACTGTGGCTGAGGATATGTACAGTTAGGGTTACCTTAGGGTGGGGCCACGATCCCTTGGTCGATATGGTCGATAGTCCCTGCTGCATCGATATGCTTCGAGCTTGTCGATATGGTTTCGATAGAGTCGATCCCTGACAGTACCCTTACCCTATATCCACCATTCCCAACCACCCTGACATGTTGAACCCACTTAGTGCAATGGCTATCTCTCTGACCAGCATGCACAAGGTTGAGGTTTGAATTCCCATATGTGCAAGTTTACACTTTATTGCACATATGGCTGGCGGTGGTTCAGTTTTCTGAGTCTGAGGCCCAGGCTCCAAGCCCCCTCCTCAGGACTGCCCTAGAGCACACTCTAGGGTGGGTTTTGCTTCACATTCCTACAACCCCTCTTAATTCCTGAATACCCCACAAATGGGGCTTTCCCTCCTTTGCCATCATCTCTCTCACACCACCGGTTCAAACCACTTTTTCAAACTCTGCTGTGGTCTGCAGGACTGCATTTATAGTTACACAGACCGGGCCCCAGCCCGGTCCCTTGACCTGTGGCACCATTCCTCTTTCGGACCCTATCCTCTCTTTTTGTCTTACTCCTACCTCTAGTGCTGTATGGCAACCTCTTGAAATACAGATCAGTCTTAACAGTACTCTGTGGTGACTCTACCGATTGGATCACTATCAGTGAGGTCCTATTCTGAGGTCCTTTCAAGAGGTAGAGTTAAGATGAAGGAAAGGGTGCAGAAGCAAATGGAAACAGGATGTGGCAAAGGCCATGATCTGTGTCATGTGACTAGGAGCAACACAGCCACTACTATCATGGAGGTGATAGGAAGGAGCAGGCAAAGATGGAAATGCAGCAGGGAGAGCAGGAAAGAGTAAGAAGAGACTATAGAAAGCGGGTAAGGGGACCTTACACCTGACAGGGGCCCTATCAAAAGTTGCTCCTGAGGTGGTGTTCTACCATGTGAAATATTACAGGTATTTCTGGGGCTGACAATGAAAAACTCCACAATTTGAATAAGTCCTCAACATACCTTTATAAGTAGGTTGTGGAGATATCTTGCTTTTCTGCTTTTTACCCCCCAAAATCCCCAAAAGTTGCCACCAGGTAGAGCACACCTCCAGGAACAAACTTTATAGAGTGTCAACATCTGTTTATAAGTATGATGTAGAGATATTTCACCTTTCTGTTTTTCACCTCTAAAAATCCCCAAAGAATTTGAGCAGGTAGAGGACACCTCCAGAAAGAGGCTTTTCATAGAGCTCCAGCATCTGTTTATAAGCAGGCTGTGGAGATATTCTGCTTCTTTGCTTTTTGCATCTGAAAATTCCGAAATTCTGTCAGCAAGTAGAGCACACCTTCAGAAAGGCCTTTTCATAGGGCTATGACACATGTTTATAAGTAGGTTGTGGAGATACTCTGCTTCTCTGATTTTCACCCCTAAACTTGCCCAAATTTTGCCCGCAGGTAGAGCACACCTTCATGAAGAAGCTTTCATATAGCTTTGACATCTGTTTATAAGTAGATGGTGGAGACAATTGACTCTGTTTTTGGCCGCCACAAACTCCAATATTCCATGAGATAGTAGATCACTATGTGATAGAAACACTCTCTTGTGTGCTCAACATTTGTTTATAAGCAGATGGTGGAGGTATTTGGGTTTTGAATTTTTAGCCTCCAAAAGTTCCCATACTGTGCCAGAGGGTAGATGGAACCACCATCTAAACACTCATATATGTCTACATATGCTTATAAGCAGACAGTGAGATCCTCAACTTTTGAGTTTTCAACTTTTCCAAAACTCCCATACTGTGTGAGAATGTACATCAACTCTTAGTATGTACAGTGGCATGGTGTTACTAGGGTTGATAAGGAGATGGGGGAGATATTGAGGCTTCAAATTTTTGACCTCAAACAGCTCCAATACTGGGTCTGAAAGTACATCAATCCTCCACATGTATACTGGTATGGTGTTGACCAGGGTTGGCAAGGAGACAACAGAAATATTCAACTTTCGAGTTTTCGATCTCCAAATTTTCTCATACTTCATCAGAAGGTAGATCACTCCTCCACTCATGCACTGATACACTGTTGACCCAATTTGATGAAAAATTGGCTGAGATATTGAATTTACAAGTTTTCATCCTCAGATATCCTCGGCAGTGAAGCATGTGGGGGATTGTCTCTATGCATGTATTGATCCAGCTTTGACCCACACGAATCAATTCAGATCCCTACCGTACATGCTTTCAATTTTGGATATCTTGAGGATTGAAAAGAGAAACATCAGAGCAGAGAAGATAGATGTATATATACAATGTACCCTGTAGGCTAAGCTTGCACTGGGTTGCAGTGGCCCATAGTGCTTTAAAACACTGGAGGGCAATGACTTGGAACCCCACCGTATCATGTCCACACTGTTGCCCCTGCTTGGCACATTGAATGTGTAGGGGTGACTACTCAAACTAACGTATGCATTCAGCTCGACATTCAGCTGCGTCGCAGTTGTGCGAGCGCTTGAGCGAGTTTTTGTTGTGTATGGCTTCAGAGTGATAGTGAAACTGTTTTCTCCTTGCATGTGGCGGCCAAGACAGTCGTTTTGTTTTCCTCGCGAAGCTGAATTCCGTGTTTCGGTGTTTGCTCCTTCATTCGTTGACGTGAGTCTTCTGTGAATAGTTCTTGATGGCTCGTGTCATGGCGCTCTAATGCTGCCTTGGTTCTGTCGATATCGAACACGAGTACATCCGCAAGTTCTCTGAAGGCGCGAGGAGATATGGACTCAGAGAGGCAAGGGAAGAGGGCGTTATGCTGTGGGCTGACACGGAGTGGGATGGCGTCCACTTCAATCGGAGTTTCTCCTTCCAGCAATGATCGAAACAGTCTGTCCACGCGTGAGAGCCATAGCCTGAGGACAGTACCATGCGTGGGCTGCGATCGCGAGGCCGATGATGATTGGCACTACGATGAGGAAGCGCTCTACAATATCGAATAGCTCTGCGCAGGTCGCCACGTGCACCACGTCGCCGTCTGTGATTGCGAGTGCGAGGTGGACTTCGCGGACCTGGATGCCGGCGAAGACACAGAGGCCGCAGGAGAAGAAAATCATCCCGAAGAGCTGGATGATGTTCCTGTTCCAGAGCGCGTCGAGCGTGATATAGAGCTCCGTTCCACGCCAGTAATCATCGGACGATGGTATTTGATCAGACGCCGGAACATATCCCAAGAGGCGTCTCGTATCTGCGGGACTGCATACAACGCCTGCAGCACCAGAGCTTCGCCTTGCGCCGGGTGCGTCAAACGCAAAGCGACGGGGCTAGTGGAGATAAGAAGAAGCATCCAGTGAGACATGTTGTCTCACCGATTGGGCGGTCGTATTCGCTCGCTGGGGATGGGATCGGTGTATTGAGAAGCATTGAGGAAGGTCTCGTTCAAACTGGCCTGGATGGCCCTGTCCCTTGCAAGACGTCAGTTCACAGCAGCGCAACTTTCCCAGTTGTGAACTGGGAAAGTCGGCAATCTGAACACAGGCATCAGCCACACTCAACAGTGCTAATGAGGTTGCACCGATTCACTGTTCAGAAGATAGTATGAAGGTGGCATGTTGTGGTGCGGTGTTCCAGTGTGATGTGGCAAGCAAACGGATGCACATAGAGATAGACGCAGGCGACTCGTGCCGCCAGCGACAGGTAACGGAATTAAGGTGGGTGGGCTAAACCCAAAAGTAGGGCTGCACCGAGAATTGAACTCGGGACCTCTCGCAAGCACCACGTGGTAATGCCCAAAGCGAGTATCATACGACTAGACTATACAGCCACAGCCAGGGTTGCCGTTCCATTTCAAAGAATATAGCTTCGTTGTGGGTTTGACTTGGACAGGAGGTTAGGCATGCGGGGACAGGCGCCCGATCATCGTTCCGATCGTTCCTTGTCTATATTTAGGCTCCTCGCGCTCACCGCCCCTCCCGCGTGTGATTCCAACAGTGAACGTGAACGTTGTGATTGCACTCCATAGTACACCCTCGACTCGATCTAGACAGCAGGCGGCACAGGCACGCCTGCACACACCTCGACCTTCTCTGCCTACCACTCCCATTCCCTTGCAGCCCCCAGCGCCCCACCTCGCACAATGTCGCCCCGGTCCGCCTGCCGCCTGGCACCCACGCGCTACGCCTGCTGATAGTCCTGTACCAGCGGCCCCACGGCCATTCGCTGAAAGAGTGCAGAAGAACAGGGAGCCCAAGAAAGGATATGAAACGTCGTAATGTGGCAACCTAGATGCTGTAGTGGCTTGATCATTACTAAGGGCCCGAGACGGTGGCATGCCACGGCTAATAGCGCGAGAATCATGGGCCGCCAATTGTGCCCGGCGTGGACTGTATGTCCCGACCGGTTTCGTCAGCATATTCTCCATCGCGTGAGCAAGGGTTGTGGGCCGACTGAATTTCATTGCATTGCCCTGTTCTGGAGGATGCAGGCGTGACGCGATGCAAGTTGATAGTATAGACGGGCGCACACGTCGAAGGAACACATCGTGCCGCCGTTCGGCTCATCAAGTCTGCCCATCGCAGCGCAGAGGGCGTCGCTGTTCGTGCCAGTATGGACACTGTGGTCGTCAGGTCGAGGCGACTCTCACTGCAGGGTGCGCTCGATGACTTTCGTGTCGCGTCGGCATCAGAGCGACATGTGAGCGGATAGAGACAAGACACGGGCAGTCGGACGTGGGTGTGTTGCAGACGGGCATAGATGAGAGTGTCTGTGATAAGGAGCGAGACGTGAGCGAGGAGAGACAAGACAGTCGGGTGCCGGTGTGCTGCAGACGGGGGCATCGCTCGGCGTGCGTGTGACGGCTGTGAGATGTGAGCGAGGAGAGACAAGACAGTCGGGCGCGCGTGTGTTCTAGATGGGCATCGTTGGCAGTGTCTGTGAGATCGCTGAGACAAGAGAGACGTGAGCGGAGAGTGGTCCATGTCCCGGAGTTCGGCGCATGTCTGGAACTGACTGTGTCCTAGAGAGACATGATCACAGAGGGCTGGTGTCGCAGAGGGCTCATGTCCCAGATCATTCATGTCTCAGAGCGTTCATGTCGCGGAGCTGGGCATATGCACTTCAGACTGCTGTGTCGCATAGTCAGGTTGTCTGGCAAGTACGAGAGTGCTTCCGTCGCCAGAGCAATAGGAGGGCGAAACAAGGACCCGGACGAGGTTGCGCATATATGCATGTCTTTTACTCTGACCACAGAGCCATTGGATCGCCGTGTCTGAACCCAGGCCGGCCTCTGGTAAGGCAGGCCGCTGAGCGCTAAGACGAATGACTTGGTCGGTGGTGTGCCACGTGACGCGCCGCTCCCTGCGTCCGCGCTGTCTCGATCGCCCCGCGTACTCCGCAGTCTTGGCACGCGCCCGATCATCGATCCACCCCGTGTGAAATCCTCAGGCGCGTTTGTCCCTGAGAGCGCTACAACGGTTCACTCCCTGGAAGGACGAATCTCGCACATCACATGAAATGGTCGCGGTCGGTGGCCTGTCTATGACGGCCGATGAGACGGACAATGAACGACACTGGGCCGGATACGCGTCTGTCAAAGGGCCGAGATGGGCACGGATGTTCTTGTTGACCGTATGTCTTCTTGGCCTGCAAATGACGTGGTCAATCGAGATGAGCTACGGTGCGTTTCACCTCTCCGAGGGCAAACAGCTACTGACAACATTGCAAGCCTTCCCATCCCTTCTTACCATGGGCGTTTCCAAAGCGCTCATGTCCCTTGTCTTGGTGGCCGGCCCGCTGTCGGGACTCGTGGTGCAGCCACTAATTGGTTTCGCCTCATATGTCGCCGTCTGCCGCTCATAAACTGATGCAACATTCATAGGTGTCTTTGCTGATCGATCCAAGTCTCGATGGGGCAGACGACGCCCGTTCATGTTGGCGGGCTGCATGATCAGCATGGGATCCTTGCTTCTGCTTGGCTTTACGCGGAACTTTGCGTCTCTGCTTGTGGATGTGTCGAGTAGCCTTGTGTGTCTAAAGACCGCCGGTCACGCATTCTATATCACTAATACCGAGGTAGGGCCAGTCGGTCACCATTTTTCTGGCAAGCTTGTCAATATATCTCCTTGATTTCTCAATCAATGCAGGTGAGAACTATGGTGTCTTGGTTGAGGATCACTCTGTGACCGTTCAATCGCCAGTGCAAGCCATGGATCGTGCGTTGCTAGTGGACACTTTACCTGCATCGGAACAGGAGCTAGGCAATGCCTGGGCAGCGCGCATGATGGGGTTGGGAGGGGTGTTGGGCTTTTTCACGTGAGTCTAGTGGGTTTACGAAGCTGCAAGGCTCAGACATACCGCAGGGGATACATGGATCTGGTTGCTTGGTTCCCATTTTTGGGACGCACACAATTGCAAGTTTTAGTACTCATCGGTTCCGTGATTCTCCTTGGCACCCACGTTCTTACGTCCCTGTGCGTGACGGAGAGAGTACTTATTCAGGACGAGTAGGGACCGAGGCCAGTTGACACTTGTATCAGCAATCTTACTGCTTTGTAGCAGCGAAGCGTCCCGAGGTGGTTTCTTTGCCGGTATACGGGACATCTGGAGCAATATTCGTACGCTGCCTCCAAAGATTCGACAAATCGTAAGCGTGTCCTGCCAAATTTGTTCCTGGGGTGATTCTAACTTTCATGCAGTGTATGATTCAGTTCTTGTGAGTGCCTGGACACCCTTAGCGAGTTTATTGCTGAGTCAGGCTTTTAGCAATTGGATTGCCTGGTTCCCAATCTTGTTCTATTCGTCGGAATGGGTTGGGGAGATATATACTCGTTCGCAAGTTGTCGAAGGGCGGAGCGCAACCGATCCAGCTGTGGTATCTGAAGCTATGCGGGTCGGATCAGAAGCATTATTCTGGCAATCGGCAGTGGTTCTCACCGCGACTGTTTTGCTACCTATCCTCGTAGCCTTCGCCGAAGAGGCACTGGCACGACGAGGATCAGCATCCAACCGGTCGAAATGGTCCGACTCTTGGATTCCCTCCGCCGTGCTCCGTGTTTTCAGTTTGCCTTATCTTTGGGCTGTCTGTCATCTGCTCTTCGCCATCATGATGTTTCTCACATAGTAGGAGCTCTGCCTTGCGGGTCCTGTGGCTTCACTAACCGTCTTCAGCATCATCGATTCTGTATGGGGGGCAAGCTGCATCTTGGCGGTCCTTGGCATTCCATCTGCAGTGAACAATTGGGCCCCTTTCTCCCTGGTATGCGCGTTGACACCGTGTTGAGGAAGCGCGCTAAATATGCTTAGCTTGGGGAGGCTATTCAGGGCGATGGGCCTCTACCTGGAGAAGAGTTTGCTCTGGAAGAGCAGCCAGTGGCTAGCACCGCAGATACCGATGCTGAACGAGCGGCTCTGATAACATCGACTGACGAGGATGACGCTGCGGACGTGCATGAGTGAGTATACTGCTTGCCTCTGTATTTTGACACTCAGCTGAGGTCAGGCACAGAGTGAACGGGCAGTTCAGGAAGGACGAAGAACAAGAAGCAGATCCACATGTGCTTCACGTCGAGCTAGAAGCATCAGAGGTCGAAATGCCCCCCAAAAAAGGCAACCACCTCTCGGAGAAAGCGGGGATCATTCTGGTATAGTACCTGGGCGTCTCGAAACGCTGGTATTGGCCTGACTGGTGGTCCAGGGTATCCACAACATCTTTGTCGTCATACCTCAATTTCTTGTGAATGGCCTCTCCGCCCTTGTCTTTGCTTTACTTGCGCCTCATGGGGTTGGCACACCCGAGGGCACGACGGATTCTCTTGGAACTGGCACAAACGCAACCGTTACTTCTGTCGGAGGCACAAGTGTTGTACCCGTGCGCGATGTTGACTCGATCGGAGTAGTCCTTCGGTACGTAACGTTTCCGTTATTCAACAGCATGCACGTCCTGAGATAGCTCCACAGGATCGGCGGGTTTAGCGCTCTTGCGGCTTGTTATTTTGCATATAAGCTGGCAAGAGAAAGTGGCTGAAGCCGGGCAAGCTGGACAGCCGTACTGTACCTCTCAAAATACGGTACCGTCACTCTCTATCTCTATCGGAGGGCCTCCGTTGGCCCTTTTGGCCTTGGCAATCTCTCGACCCCCCTTCCAGGTTGCACTCTCCAATATTTGTGTTAGCGAGAGTTTCGTATGAGCTTGCGTCATCTTCAAGCATACGGCTTCCGCGATACGGTCCCTGGATTGCATATTAGTAAATCTGGGCCCCTCGTAAGCGGCGTAATCATGTACAGTTCAATTACAGTCATTGCTGGGAATGTGGTCAGTCTACGCGTGTGCAGACGATTGCGAGCCCCCTTACCTCTCCATTCAATTATGGCTGGATGTGACGCCGAGAATCTCGGGATGTCCTGCCGTGGCCCAAGTTCAGCCCTGGTAGGCCTCAACGTCAAGACTCCAAAGTCAACTAACAGCCCTCCTGAAAACGGCATTCAGTCATTCAGTGACCGGGAGACTTCCTGTGGAAACGTACTCACCGTTGCGGTATTCCGGAAGTCCTGTCATATCTTCCATTCCATCGACATCCCAGCCCATGATCTTTTGCAGAACCTCGATCAGGGAATAACAAAGCCATTGGCTGAGCTTGTGGAATGGGACCAAGTCTTCGCCCTCCACAGTCTCCTGACCTTGGCGCTGTAAGTTATCACCGAGCGCCGCGCATGGCCACACATCGCCAAGACTGGCGCCGTTCAGTCTAGTCCGAGAATCGGGCCAAATGGCAGTCAACCCGTCCATAAGGACATGCCAAAGGGAAGCGACATGGATCGAAGATCTTC